GGGAGCTGAATTATCTGCAATGGTCTCTTCCTCTCCAAAACAAACAGACCCAGTGATTTAAAACGATAAAAACACAGAATAAATAAGTTCCACATTAAATTCTTAAGGTTTTTCCACCACTGCTCATCGCGGAGGGGCTGCTAACTACAGTGGCAGATGCGAAAACGTGAAATGAATGGCCCTATCTAATGCCAGTGTTTGGTTTGTCTGTTCTGGGCTACTGTAAAAACATGGCAGTGCAACATGGTGATCTCTGTAGACAAGGACCCACTGCGTAGGTAGATATAAACGGCTCATTCTAAAGCGGGATTTTTACTTGTGTGTCAGCTGTATGCAGGGCCTACACATGTGGCCTATGCCCTTGTGAGCATTTATAAAACACACATTAAACATGGCTTAATAGCAAAAATTTAAATCACAAGTACACAAATCAGCTTCACTATAACTCGCAGCATTCACAGACAAAGCACTTGTCTTTATCTGGACACATTTTCCCATACAACATGCTAATGTTTTTAGCACAAGCCTATGGCATTTTATATAGTATACATTAGCCTAGCAGCTAGCTTACTTTTCCTCTACTCATGAAGACAGGGACAACAGCAACATTTAACAAAGGTAACGTTACAGAATTTGGCTCCATTACAACTCACAAGGTTCACTGACGAAACAACTGTCTTATACTAAACACGTTTTCCAAACAAATATAACATGCTAACATTATTAGCACAAGTTAATACTAGAAAAGATAGTGAATTGCTGAGATTTCCTCTGTTCATATGAAGCCAGGATAAATCACACACTAGACTTAAAATGCTATTTATGTGGAGGCTTAATTGTTTTCACAATTTATTGTTTCTTATCTGAGAAATTAAAGTAAATAAAAGCTTCGTTTCCACTGAGGGAAATGGTTTCATCTTAGACAGGAAGTCTGCAGCGCCGCAGCGTGTAGTTCTACATTTCTGGGGAGGTGCATGTAAGGCTACAGCGTAGGATACGACTATTCCATTTCTGCCAAATTCTCCCTAAATCCTACACACTGGACCTTTAACTAGTCTACTTTCCAAATGACACTACAACCAGCACTGATAGAGTTAAATGTAAAAAAGGAAAGAAATGCATGAGACATTTGAAAGTCAGAGAGTACACTCATTTTTTTGTAATCTGTCCTTTCCCTGAATATATTTGACATTTGAAATCCCCACAGCGCCATGTGATACACCAATCGAGGAACAGAGGGCCACAAAGTAGTGATTGCTATTCACAACTAAGCACCACAACATCACAATTAATCAGAGTCAAGCGTACTTAACACCCTGCCAAACTGCTGTCTGTACCTGCACCTCAACAGACCTGCCTTTGAAGACATAATGCAACTGCTGGACTCACAACCGCAGCACATATTTGGACGGATGAGTCTAAGCACCCAGGGACTCATTCTCTATTTAACAGGGTGATGTAAGGCACATCTCCATCTCATCCTCCAGCTTTTAAAGCTTTGATCAATACACGTCTGCTGGCATCCGCTTTGTACTGTAGTTTTGTGTGTTAATGTGCTAAGCCACAGGCTGCTGCTCCTCCATAGGCTGTTGTTGATATAAATAGACAGCTTATGGCCCCGCCACTCTAATCCTTATTGCCTAGAGACCAGGGTGGAAAAAAGGGAGGAAAGAGAGAGGGGACGGGATGTAGACGGAGATAAACACACAGAAATTAAGATGCAAAACTGGCGTTACAGCGCTGTTACAGGTGTGGGGCCGATCCATGCTGTCAGCGTGAGGAGGAAGTGAAGTGAAAGAGAAGAAGACTCAAGTTAAATCATCCATGTCCCTGCTTTGAACTACCACAAAAGCACAAGAGGTCATTAGAGGCAAGAATGTTTAACTACAAGAGTTTTCTTTCCCAATAAAGCCTCGTTAAAGTGCTACCAATAGACTCCATTGAAAATAAACCAAAACACAGTGTACAATGCCCGAAAAAAGCCACTTTGTCTCTCCCACGTGGATTTATGTAAGCGGAATGGCATGTCGAACATGAATTAATGTTACTGCTCTCTACATTTATCTGTTGCCTTTAACTTGGCTTACCTCCCGTGTCGTTTTTATCAGCAAACGCAGCTAAAGTGAACATGTTTTATGTTTTTCATGGATGGAAACGGCTGTGATTCTTACCAGAGGGCTTAGATATTTGGAATTCTCAAAGGGGAATATGATTAGGAGCACCTGATCAAATTGCTTTTGCTAAATTATCTCGGACAAGCGTCATTAATCATGCGGACATGCTTCTCGTTTGAAGGTGAGCTGGCACTAAACTGAAAAAATGAGAGCTTGTTTCAAAGCAAAGTTTTTCCGTTCCCCCTCTGAAGTGATGCGTTGACCCTTGAGAAGTTTATACTGACAAAGCTATACAGTTCACTCAGTCTCTCAGATAGAGTGCATGCCATAGGGAGCAGGTCATGGAAAAGTCTTGAGTTTGACTAAGTGCACTCTCTCTTTTACCCTGTCTGTCAGTCCGTCTCTACCTCACTCACCACACACACACACACTCACAGGAGAGTACATGCTCGGATACGCTCAGACACATTGACCAATCTACGCACACACACATCACTGAATGCTGAGGTAATTTGTAACAGTAGAACACCTCATAACTGTGGGTAAAAGAAACAAATGACACATGCGAGGATTTACACTACTTTAAAAGGCTATGTTGGGGGGGACGTGGTCGAGAAGTATATCATTGATACCATGCGTGAGATCTGAATGAGTTCTGACATATTATTAACACGGGGATTTTGGGGAAGAACACTAACATGAGCAGAGCCTCTCGTGCTCTGTAAAAGAGGATTAGTGAGCACAGAAACAGTCACAGAAATAGACATAACTTTCCAGTGGAAGTTCATTTCAGTGACGTCAAACCTGATTTAAATACATTTCTGCCCCTGCAGAGGTTAAACTTTTAAAAAAAAAATGAAGTAGGCTATTAGCTTAAGTCTGTTGAAACAGTGTGAAGCCCACTGGATATTTGCTCTTGAAACACTTCAATCAGAGGGCGTGAATGATGAACTCCTTCTCAGTGTAGTGCTGTAGGTTTGTCATGTTCATTGTTAACTTGTATTAATGATTACAAGAATGATATTTTGATTTGTTCATTGGATAAAGGACTTTTTAAAGTTCTCACCCAAACAAAATTTCAACCTTTTATCACACCAGATACTGACTGCTTTTTTTTGTTGTATCTGTGTTATGGCTGGAGTCATTACAGCTGCTAGAACAGTACTCAGGGTTTGGAAATCAAAAAAACCCCCAGAGATAAAAAAAAAAAAAAAAATAGTTAAACTATATGACAAAAACTGCCTCTTATGAATCTGTGCTGACTAGGATGACAAAACGTGCTCAATGACCAATCTGGGGGATTTTTGGAATTATTTTGCATTGTCTGGAGGCCTGGAAGTGTGATTTTTTTTTTGCTTTGTCTTGCCCTGTCAATTATGTTTTTATTTTTTTGTATTTATTCCTTTTTCTATATATATTATTATCACTGTTAATTTTAATATGTTCATTTATTCAAATTTATTTTTATTATATTGATTGTTTTTTGGCAGATTGAGACTGGTGCTGTACCTCCTCTAGTATGGATCTCTATGATCCTGTTTGTATTATTTTTGTGTCTCATTTGACATGTAGAACTGTCATATACCATCCTAACCCTATTTCAAAATTATATATATTAAAAAAATACATTTCTTAGAGTGGCCTTTTATCGTGACCATCCTTAGGCACACCTCTTAATGTCACACCTGTCAGGGGGATTGATTACCTTGGAAAAGGAGAGGCACTCACTTACACAGATTTTAACAAAAAAATTTACTGAGCACATTAAAAGTCTAAGATCTTTAAATTAAACTTGTGAAGAATTAGAGGTGTTACATTTACATTTTTGTCCATTGTATAACGTCACGTTAAACTAAATTATGACGCTGTGATAGATTAAGTGTATTAATTGATGTTTTTTTAAATTAATAATAATAATATTAATGATACATTTTATATATAGGTGCCTTTCAAGACACTCAAGGTCACCTTGCAGGCAAAGATTAAGAAAATAACAAAAGACTGCAGGTGGATTTATCTCTAGGTACAATTTTGGGGTAGACCGACATGTTTTTTTTACTCAAGTATTGCCATTTTATGCTGCTTTATTCCTCTACTCCATTATAATTTGAAGGGGAATATTCTACTTTATACTCCATTTATTTATGTGACAGCTATAGAAGATACTTCACCTTAAAAAATGATTAATGGGGATAGTGGATAACACGTTTTCAGCATAAAAAACGTAAGTTTGTCACATGTTTTAATCATTTGACGATTTATTTTAAGAAGTTTGAGTGAAATTAATAAGTTAGAATACCACCAAATGACACAGCAACTTTTGGAAAATATTAAGTTGGTTCAACTTAATTAAGCTTTTTGAGGTCAAAGCAAATCATGTTGGTTGTACTAAACTGATTGAGTTAGTCAGAATATAAAAGAAGATGGGCTTAGTAATTCTAGAGTTGGAGCTACTTATAAACATGCATGCAAATTGTTACCTTAATTTTTCCAAGTTGAACCAGTGGATTCTTTTAAGAGTGGAATATGAGAATATGATTCAACATTACAGACTGAACTAACAAACAATACAAAGTATTTAGCAGCAGCTCCACCAGCTACAACACTGAAATGCTTTTAAGTGCATGACTTTTAATCATAATTGAGTATTTTCACATTGTGTTCTTAGTCGGCCTACTACATTGTTAAAGATAAATACTTCCTCCACCAGTGAAACTTGCTTTGCAGTGCATGCATGGAGTCTTTTGTTTGTTGTTGTCTTCCTCTTTCCCTTGGCACCTCCACCTCCGTATCATGAGTGCACGGTTATGGTTTCACTGGTGCCTAAAATATAACACATTCCTCCACTATACTCGCTATCAACATGTCAAATCTGCATGCATTCACCATGGCAAATGTTGCTCCACAAGATGTGTCTGCGGTTCACCGTCACCTCCTCGCTGGATGGAGTTTGCACAAACAGCACCCCCTGTCGGCGTCCGCCTGCAAGAACAGGTGAGAGGTAACAAGTTGAGAGGTCGTGTTAGCAAAGCGATAAGGCAGCTACACTTTGGCTGCAGTCATAGTAAGTACAGGCAGTTGGAGAAAGCGAAGTTGTTGTGTGATATTATCTCGCGGAAAGCAAACTGGCTGCGAAACAGTTACAACGGGCGTCAGCGTTGAGGACTAGCAATTAGCGCAGCCGTTGAAACGATTAGCTAACGTTAGCAAGCTGCTAGCTGGCTTGCTAAGTTGCTATGTCGCAACCAAGTGCTTGGACTTACCGGAGCTAACAGAACTAGCTCGCCTGGCTAAACTTTGACTCTGCAGGATAAAAACTAAAGGTGGGTATGTTGTTATCAGACAGTGTGCAGTATTTATTCGACACTCGTTAGTGCATTAGCCGGCGCTGTTAAAATAAGCAGGTAACGTCGGCTAACACGAGCTAGCTTCTGTTAAATGTGAGGATTTGCATGCTAAGTTAGCATTAGCCTAACCTGCATGACAGCAGGTGTTCTTCTCATTTTACCGGTTATACTTTAACGTTATAGTGTAACGTCAGGGACAGTGTAACTTACGGTGGAGAGCCACTAATTGAGTGTCCTTATTTTAATGGTGGCGTTAAGTTAACGTAGGTTATTAAATAATGTGTGCCCACCAAAGAGCACAAAGTGTCCTAACGGAAACTGTCATAACAGTAGCTACCCCATCACCCAGTCCATTATGTCTCCACATCATCTCACCTTTGTTTGTCTATAAGGTCGCCCTTATTTGCATTTAAGGCTGGGTAATTATTCACGAAGCTACACGCTAACCAAAGGGACGATTATTGACAGACAAAGCATAGTACATGTCGTTTGTGTAACCATTCAGCTTCAAGTTAAACGTTGTCTAACCCGTGTTGTCTCTCTGGTTAAAGTCCTGTTGCACTGGCTGTTTTCTTTGCCCCACCCTGGGATCATGGAAAATGTGTGCATGCAAGATAATTAGCAAGTTACTGGTCTTGATTAGACTGCATAAACGAGGCGTGGTTTAGTCCATGCATTCAAATGCGTGTGGATTTAATATCAGAAAATACCCTGTGTTATTACATCAATTATTATGATAGATTGGAAAGGATCATGAAGCAGCCACTGACATGCACCTTGCTCCCGAGCTCATTACTCATCCACTGAGCCCTAAACCCCAGCCAGGTCAAGCACACATACTCAGACACTCAAAAATAGGTCTCAGGTAATTAAAATTTCTTCCTTATGTAATGGAAAGTCTTATTTACACTGAGATAATTGCCAGATTTGTTGGTGGCAGAAGCTTTATTGCATTTGCTTCTCCACCTGTGTGCAGTTTATATGCATGCACAGCACATACTGTGCATTCCAGTACCCATGCTACAATACTATATAGTATGCCAGAAATAAATTTAGTATATGTCAAATGCAATATGCCAAAAATACCAGGATGTTCTACTACATTCTGTCCAATTTCTCAGTATGCAACCCTGCATGCTTCTCTGGCTATTCTGACCCACAATCCTCTGAACAGCGGACGATAAGTCACATCAACTGAGCTGCAAACAGGTGTCGCAATGACAGATGACATGCATTCAAGTAACTTAACTAAGTTACTCATAAATCTTACAAACAACAAAAGGACATAACTATAAAAATTTCAATGAAAGAGAAATGCAGATGTAATTTCACTGGCGCAAATCTACAGTCTGTGCAGTTATAACTTTAAAGTTAAACTACATGCATTGCAAAGTAACAACAGCAAATGTCTCTGGCAAATTTGGTCAGTAGCATTTGTTTTTATGTCCAAGATAATGCATATAAAAGCAAGAGGGTCAAAGTTAAGGGCGTAATGTTATGAGAAAGTAGTATGTCCTGATGGTGTTCATACTGCATGCAACAGCACATACTTTTTAAGGACAGCTGCAGTACTTACTAAAAGTCAAAAGCAAAAGTATGCGATTCAGAATGCACTCACACTGACCTGACCGTAGGGCTGCTTGAAAGTGGTTGGACATTGACAGGGAGAACTTACTCAAAAAAAAAAAAAAAAGATTTTCCACTAGGGCTGCAACCAGCCTAACAATCATTTTCATTGCCGTTTAATCCATCAGTTATTTTCTTGATCTATTGATTAGCTGTTTGGTCTATAAAATGACATAAAATGGCAAAATGTTGATCCCAAAGCCCAAAACAATGTCCTCAAATGCCTTGTTTTGTCCACAACCAAAAGATCTTCAGTTTACTGTATTTGGTAGTAAAGAAACCGAAAATTTTGACACTTAAGAATCAGAGAAATTTTCCTTTTTTAAAAAAAAATTATTTAAAGATATTGATGGATTACCAAATTAGTTCGCGATAAATTGAATAGTTGACAGCAGGGTTGGAAATTAACTTTTTTGTTCATCTATCACCGTGGCAGGTGGATTCCAAAATCTACCAGCCATTCAATAAACAATCATTGATTTTTTTGGCTGGTAAATGAAGCAAATCTAGCAGCCACTCATGTTTTACCAGGATTTCATTGGTGGCTGGTGGCTGTTGCTAATTTTCAACCCTGGTTGACAACTAATTGCTTAATCACTGCAGCTCTTTTTTCCACTATGTCCAATTCGACCCAAGTATCCACAGAGATTGTCGAGCTTTTCCAGCTCATTATGACCTCCAGTTGTCCGGCTGAAAAACGATGTGTCCCCTAAGTGTTAGTGTGTTTCACTCCTCCTCCCAATAGTGCTTCCTTTTCCACTCACACAGTGAAAGAACCTGGTTGCTCTTGGCATGAGTGATGACTGCTGATTGAGGCATTATGGGGTTGTTATGCCATGTTTGATATTGACCAGGTGTTTTCTTGATGCGTTTGATACGTTTGTTAAAAGGTAATGTTGGATTTCTGTTAAATTTTGTAACTGGTGAAAGAAAACCAAACCCTACATCTGAGTTTTCAATGTTTTGGGGTCTTGTATCTCTTAAGTACCTTCTACTGTGGTTGTTAAATAGAGCTGCACTATTTGCAATTAATTTTACGGCATTATCTATTTCATTCTTCCCCTCTCTGTCTTTTCCTCTCTGTCTGTCTCTTAACACACACACACACACACACACACACACACCACTTAAGCTTATTGTTTAGCCTAGACATGCTTGACCTCTTAACTCTGCTCCTCTCTGCTGGGATGTCTGGTCTTGGCTTAAAGTAAGGAATGCAAAATGACTGCCAGAGAATTCAGACTTGGACTATGAAGAGTATGCTTTGTATTGCCTGTGGCGGTGTGTTTGGGGAAGTGCTTTCGGGATCATAGCTACGGTATCATGGTTAAATAAATGTTAAACTGACCCAAATGGACGGCACTAAATCAAACCACAAGTGGTGCTCGCTTTGGAGTATGAAAACAAAAGTGTTTCCGTGGATGCCTTACATAAATAGTGCCATGTCCCAGGTGTTCACGCCAGGCGGAAGAAAAACATGTTTATTTAACACTTTAATGTCCATAATTCCGTTCACTTATCACATCGCCACTCCAGGTGTGTCAGGCCTTTTTGCCGTATGTATGAATAGAGCTCATCTGCTTGTTCCAGGAGCCACCCAGGGGTGTGTTTTTTTCTGTGTGCAGGGACACCGCCTAATTGTGCTGAGCAAGCGTTGTTGTCTCCCCTCTCTTGTGCCTCACATTTTCCGTCGTTAAAACCAGCAACCCTTAAACCCTTATTGCCAGCATAATCATGCATGCGAACACACTTACATCTTTTAAATGCACCTTCAGCCACTTTGGTTGCTGCCGTGAGACTTGCTGCGTCATGGTGCCGCAGAGGGTGTTAACGAGGGCAAGATGATGGGAGTGTTGGGGGAAGGTAGTCTGAACTAAAGGCTTGTGCAATCATAACAGTAATTGAGGTGGAAAGTGTGAGCCGCAGTTCATATAAGCAAAGAAAACACCTGCTGGATGAAATGGCTCCCCTTTAGCATCAGCTTAGACTCTCTGCGTCAGCAAGGCCAGGGTCTAATCAAATCAAGACTCAGTGTATTTCCCCTTTTGACCTCAACCTCAGAGGACTTGCTGGTAATTGCCTTTCTCTAGTGCTAAATTTAAGATTAGTTAATCTTATTGTGTGTTTAGGTTAAGGTTTTCTGAGCATGCATGCAGTGTGTCAGCAGTGTGCTGCTTCTTATTTATATAGTCACTCAGACCACAAGATGCAACTTACATGAATAGACACTTTCACTATCGAATCAAGTTTATTAACATAGCCCTTCATCACAAGTGTACCAGCAAGTAGCACGTGCAGCACATCAAAACATTTGACATTTAATTGATTTTCTTAAGGCCAATTTAAACCTTTTTTAAAGCAGCCATTTTGAGTTGTCATAGTAGAAAAAGCACAGGTGTTATTAGTTGCACTAACGATGGCTTGAACAATGTTGTATTCAAGTGTTCAGTGAGAGTGACAGTGAGCCAGTGTGCACAGTCCCAGCTCTCTGTAATCAAAGCAGCTAAATGGAATTTATCAGTCATTAATTGATTACTTTCACGTGCGCTTCTCCTGTTGTGACTTCTTGTACTGATCTTACTTATATTGTTACTCTATTAGGCACTGAAGCACTTAACTCATTCGTTCATCCATTTCATTTCCATAACCGCTTATCCTGTCAGGGTTCGCGCGTGTGCTCAAGCCTATCCCAGCTGACACTGGGCGAGAGGCAGGGTACACCCTGGACAGGTCACCAGACTATCACAGGGCTGACACATAGAGACAGATAACCATTCACGCTCACATTCACACCTACGGACAGTTTAAAGTCACCAATTAACCTGCATGTCTTTGGACTGTGGGAGGAAGCTGGAGTACTTGGAGAAAACCCACGCTGACATGGGGAGAACATGCAAACTCTGCACAACTCTGTTCGAAAGAGGAACCCTCTTGCTAACCACTACACCACCACACTGCCCCTTAAACTCTTTATATCTTGTATATTTTGAATTTTTTGACTGATATTTAATACTCTACTGTTTTAAACTGCGCCCAGTGTATGACCCTGACCCGGGGAACTCATCTGGTTGTTACTGGTTTGTGAATGTTAATTGTTGTTACTGTAGTTTGTGTCACTGTACATGAGGCATTCTGTGGCACAAGAATTTCCTTAGTGATAAATAAGTCTATTGAATTTAAGTGAAAAGTCAAAAAATGTCTTTGCTTAGTAGCTACTTGGATGTTTTTTTAAAGGCCCTATGCACCAACATATGTAATCAAAATCACTCTGGTAACTTAGACCTCTTCTCAGATTTGGTGGTGCCATACTAGGACAAATTACATAACACCAAAGTCCATTTATGAATAAGATATAACAAAACAGGTGTAGCAAAATGAACAGAAGAGAGATAGAGATTCTAGTAAAGCACACCGTCCTGAGACAAGGTCTAATCAGTCAAAATAAGTGAAAACACCTGTGTGTATGTACTGTATAAGGACATGTTCCACAAGTGTAACATAACCACTGGAAGCTGAAGTGGTCACCATTGATGTCACTGAAATGACGAGGCATGTGCAGACTTATCTGATATGTCATGGCCAATTGAAGGTCCTATTACTTGGTTTTAAGTTTCACAAGGATTACAGGCGCAGATCACTTCCCTCAGGGACCGAATGACCATGTGGTATTTCGGCTAAGGTGCAGCTACTGTTACGAACATGCTTAACAGTGCTGCTTGTACAGTAAATGGTTTCCATTTATCTGGGGCGTACATATGTGTTTCTATTTCAAACCAGTCACTACATCAGCTGTTTTCAAAACTGCACAGTAATGCTTACAACTGCGATTGATAATTAGTGTACAGGCTCCATAAATCAAAAGGGTAATTATCAAACTAAGAATGTAATCAAATCTTTAATGGCTTTATCAAAGCATGATCAAATTTAAGCTTATCAGTTCAATTGCAGCCTCAATAGTGTGTTATCATGTAATTTTTTCCATTAGTTCCACTCCTCATATCGGGCTCCATGGCACAATGATTACAGTCATAGCTTCAGGTGCTGGTGTGCTCTCTCCTGCCACAGAAGTAGATCATTTTTATTTTATTGTGGAGACAGGAGTCCTTTGTGAAGTGTTACCACAAGCACTTTTTTAAAATTTAAATGACCACAGCTAGTTTACAGTCAGAACTGGAATCAGACAGTGTTGCACATGCGTTGCGTGTGCACAGGCATCAGTTTTAGAGACAATAGCGAAGCAAATTAAGTTGCGCTTAAAATTCAAGCTCATATGAAACACAAACTATAAGAAGAATTTTGTTTTGTTACTGTAATAAAGCTTGAAACTTTATTTTATGTCTAATTTTTATAATTAAGCTGATGTATAACTGCGTAGTGTCTTACACAGAATATAAGGTGACTAAAAATGGCAACCATATTTTCAGTTTCAGCAGCCGAAAGCTGATGCCTGGTTGGTGGCCTGCCAGCCATTTTTAAAAGTTAATGTTGAGCCCTGTTATGGAGAAGATACCGTGTTTTGTCCTGCTTTTTAATCTTCAATATTGGTTGCATTAGCCTAATACACCCACAGATCTTGAAGGAACAGCTAATAGAGTGTGGCAAAATAGCACAGTTCAGGACAATACAATGGTATGGCAACATGTAATACATATTGTCTCATGGTATTGCCTACACTAGCTGGTTATAGCATGTTATATGAACTTAATTGTGCAAATGGTAATGCAGCCACTGTTAAATTTTAGTTGTTACCAAGATTTGAAAGCTTCAGTGAACATAGGCGGGATATTTTACCACCAATTCTTTATGTTGCTCAAACTTTATGCCCCTGTATAGACTGAATTGTTTTTGAAGCCACAGCCACATTTGATTTAGTGACCATGCACCTACAATTTGTTAGCAACAGTCAGAAAGGTTCCCCTATTTACATTCCACACTAGGAATGTCTGCCCTGGATTTTCCACTGTTTGTGGGAAAATATGTCCGAAGAACAACAGAACAGCACTCTGTGCTATTGATGAGACTGTCGATAATCTCATTTGTTTCATGTTACAGAGTCGCTTCTCTTGAGATATTTTCCAGAGTGGAATAAATTCCATAAATGTCATCATTTTTATTCTTAGTACAGCAACATCAGCTCACGCTTTGATTTATATTCAGGTTAATCTTGTCTCCTTCACCTCTCCGCAGATGGCTGTGTCGGTGCGGGGCCTGTACTTCGTGGTGACCCTGTTTTTGGGTAGCTTCTTTGGAAGTATCTATATGCTGGGTCCAGTTTTGCCGCTCATGATGCTGTCCCCTGCTTGGTACCGCTGGATCACCGATCGCATCGTCGCTATCTGGCTCACCCTGCCTGTGGTGTGTACACCAGCTTAGCCTTAACTTAGCCTACTTCTGTACGTGCCAGATGGTCTTACGTTACCTGTGTTTGACACAGTCACGATAGCCTGCGTCATCTCAGCCTTATTTATGCCTCCTCTGTGTAATCAGATTTTATTTTTTATCAGGAGTGAACTTCATTTATTTAAATTGCTCTTGAGAACAATTATGCAAATCTTGTTTACTGTGACCGCATGAATTGACAGCATTATTTATTTATTTTCCTCTCACGCTTCTCTCTCTTTAAAATTTATCTCACCACCTTTCCTCTTCCCAGCCCCTCCTCTCTTCCTCTACATCCTTTTTCAATGATCATCCTAATCTCCCTTTGATCATCCACCTCTCTATCTTGCTGTCTCTCACTCCCCTTTCCTTTCTTTCCTCTTCATCCTCTCTCCGTCCCTGTGTCTCTCCCCTCTGCAGTCGTTACTGGAGCTGGTATTTGGGGTGAAGGTGGTGATAACAGGTGATGGCTTCATTCCGGGGGAGCGAAGTGTGATCATCATGAACCACCGTACCCGTCTGGACTGGATGTTCCTTTGGTGCTGTCTGCTCAGGTACAGCTACCTGCGTCTGGAGAAGATCTGCCTCAAGGCTGCCCTGAAGGCTGTGCCTGGCTTTGGTGGGTATGCAGCGGGTGCTCACCTCTTTGGTGTACACACAGACACACACTTGCACACCTTTGCATACCATAATATAATCTGTGCTTCGCACAGCACTTCTGCAGAAACATCATTACATCATTGCAATGCAGTTCACTTTTAGAGGAGGAGAGACAGCTGCATCTAAATATAAAAGAGGAACAGCACAATGCAAATTCAGAGCAGTAGAATGCCATGAAAATGATCCGTAAGGGCACATGCTGTTTCTGTTACCACTTGGAAAACAAAGTCAGGTGCTGGGTGCTACTTTTGTGCCTACTCTGTGCCAACTTTAAAGAAATGGGAGGTAGGTTGGGCTTGACATTGCTAAGGGACCATAACCTGCACTGTATCATAGCCTACTTATTAAAAATCCCGAGTTCGGAGCCCATCTTCCTCTAAGTGTTGTTTTTTAAGTGTGTATCAGGCCTAAAATATTGTCTGCCCCTTACTAAAATGATCACCGTCTCTGCCATATTTACCACGGACTGATATTTACACTACCTGCTGTGATGGTTGTTCCTCGTCACTTGACATGCGGTGCTGCATCCCAGAAATTTAATGTAGTTTATCTCAGGAAGCAGCGGTCGCTCCCTAAAAAAGAAACATAGGCGCTTGGGAATGCTTGGACGGCACTTGGGACATCTACATTGTCGTCAATGGATTGTAGAGCACAAAAACGTGGCATGTGTACTCGCCCTTATTTAGCCTGCCATTATGATATAAATGGGGTTGACAAAACATTAGAAACGCCTGTCAGTATAACGCAGTACAGTTCAACAGCACCACAAGCCGCAGCATCTGAATTAACCATACAGTGTGTAGGTTTTAGCTAAGTGTGGTTTATGAACTGGTAACTGAGTCATCATGAAATTGAATACATTTCCCAGCTTTAATCCTGTGTCCCAGTGTTACTTTATTTCTCGTGACATGCAAAACATACGTCAAAAGATCAATCAGTGTTGGAGTATTTTTACATAAAAATCCCCATCCTTTTGTTTTCTGTAAAACCAGATGCCAGAAACCAGAAAAAGGGTTTAAAAATGCTGATGACTCATCCTGCGCTCAGGAGCAGTTACAACACTTCACCCAATCAAACGAGACTAGCTAGCCACAGCAGTCATATTGCAACTGCACTTCACTGTTTGTGGGTTGTAGTTAACAGGGCAAGATGGCGAGAGATAGGAAGAGACGTGTGTCTGGAAATCAGTAGGCAAAACCTTTTGTTTTTCAAAACAATGCGGTGGAGGTCGAATTCAGTCATCTCTCCCTTGTCGTCCTCCTGATCTAACAACGAGGGAGGTGTGCGTGGAGCCAACAGTCCTCTCAGCGACAAACTCCGCTGTAGCTCTGCATCATGCTAAACTGGAAGCCACGCCCACTTTTACTTCTTGTAACTGTACACAGCTGAAATATTCTGTTTCACTGGGACAGGAGCTAAAAACACTCTCACTTCCAGTTTCACTGGGACTTTAACATTACCAAAGAAAGTGCATTTTTTTCCTGTTAGAAAATGCTGGTTTGACTGTAATGATATCTTGACATAATATGTTTCAGAGCATAGGTACTCTGATGGAAAAAGCCCAATATCATTTGATTTACTTGGGAAACATAGGCTCTCTCTGCTTTGAAAAGTCAGTTGCACGAGACGTAATCGATTACACATGTAAAGACGTAGTATGTATTTTCCAGGCTGGGCAATGCAGGTGGCCTGCTTCGTCTTCATCCAGCGTCGTTGGGAAGCGGACAAGAAGCACTTGGAGAACATGCTCGACTACTTCTGTGACATCAGAGAGCCCCTGCAGCTGCTCCTGTTCCCAGAGGGCACAGACCTCACCGGTAAGAAAGTAACAATGCAACATTCCTTCCATTCATCGCGTTCAATTTGCCTGCAATTCAGTTGTCGTTCCCAGAATACAGTACCCACCCACCAACCAGCTCCCAGCTCCCAGCATACCCCTACACCTGTCTAACACCTTTGCACTGACACTCTTATGCAAACACAGTTTCCAAGTGATAAGGCATGGCGAAATCCCCTGACACACACCCCACACAGTCATTTCTGCAGGAATGCTCTGATCTTTAAATCCGAGCAACAGCGACACCAGTGTCTAAAGCCCTTTCAGACCACGGCTAAGCCAATCAAAGTCCCGAGTAGCTTTACTGGGGGAAGCTTAACTTCTCAGTACATATCATGATGTCATGAGGGGGTCCAGTGAAGTTACATCATAATTGGCCGGCAGATTTAGGGCTTTAAGGATCGTTTCACTTTCGGTGTTGTGTTTGCGCCTGTTCATGTGTGTGGCTGAATGCGCACACATGTCTGCATTTAAGCCTCTTAAACCTCGTGGCTTAATTTGATGCAAGCAAGGGGACGTATGCCGCATGTTCTGACGTCTTATGCGGAAGTTGTCCTGTGCTTTACTCCTGCCATACATTAAGATCTCCATCAGGTCCAGAGTGCTCTTAAGCCCTTATAGACATTTCCATAACCCCTTTTGAAGCTTGTAGAGCTTGAGCGAATTGAATGAAAGATTTTATTAGAATGAAAAATCACAGATTTCCCCCTCTGGATGAGCACAGACTGATTGACAGAGGACTGTTCATGGCCCTTTTGTCCTACAAGTGGGTCTGAAGGAGCTCCTTGTTACATAATATGACTGATGAGTCATGATATAGTTTACATGTCCCTGCAACAAGTTCCTGGGGAATGTTTGGTTAATAAACAATCATCTTTCCTGTGTTTATTTCCCCCTGTGGTTTTTACAAATGGGTCACTGGTGAATGCGGTCATATCCCGTAACCAACATTAGGATTGTTTAACTGCTATTTTTATAATAGCATACTTTATCTCAGTATCTCTTGTCAACCAATATCTTATTTTTTAATAAAGATACTTTATATGCAGTAAGTAGTTTTTCACAATTATGTACATTTAGTGATTTTTTTCAGAGTGGAAATTACATTGAAAGCTACTAATTAAGCAGCTGTTTAAGTCCTCATGAAACGGAAGTCAGAGCATATTTAACTTCTGTACTGTGACGTATTCCCCAGTGAAACAGAATATTTGAGAGCTTTGCAGTTAGGAGAAGGATTTAAATCACATCCTTTGCATCTGATCGGATTGCTTGAAAGCAGGTGGGCTTAGTGTTTAATGCAATATGGAGCTACCACAGAGTACACTGCTGAGTGGATGGTCAGCTCCACACACACACACCTCTCTGTTGGATCAGTAGGAGGGTGAGGGAGAGATGAATAAATTAGACCTCCGCCACATTGTTGTGGAAATGAAGAACAAAGGTTTTGCCTACTTATATCCAAACACATCTCTTCCTCTCTCTCTTCATATTACTGTATTAGTTAGTACGTATTATGACCTACAAGCAGTTAAGTGCGGTTTTGAAAGGCTGCTGTGGCCAGATTGGATGAACTTTTGTAAACGCTGGACACAGTGCAGGATGAGTCATCGAACATTTGAAACATATTTCCTGGTTTTACAAAAAGAGAAAAGACAGGGATTTTGATGTAAAATACTCTGATACTGGTTTCTTTCTTACATATATTGGGCATATAACACGAGATAATTAAAAGTCAGAATGAATCCAAATGGACAACAGATACTGCTGGCTTGTTAAGTTATTAAAATTACTTTAAATTACCTTACATTGGATGTAAAAATAATGCATGTAATAATTGTACTGTAATATAAAATTAGAATAACATGATCAGTCTAATGCAGGTGAAAAATAAACATATATATGACTCTCTCATTACCTGCAAAAATATGTTTATATACCCACAGTTTATCACTCCGCAGTCAACACAGTTTCCACATCCAACATATGAAACATGATTTACAAGTTAATGCTTTGTAATTTGTTAATTGAAATTGCCAGAGGTTTATAGTTTATCTGTATCTCTTCCAGAAAACACAAGAGCAAAGAGCGATGCTTTTGCTGTCCAGAACAACCTGCCGAAATTCGAGTACGTGCTGCATCCCCGCAGCACTGGATTCACCTTCATTGTGGACAGACTACGAAAAGGTCAGCTGTGATCCACGTCAGCCGTTTGTGAAATCATGAAATGTCTACAATAAGCATGACAATGATCTGCACATAATAACAGTGTTATCGTTAGCTGGCAGTCAAACAGCAGCGTTTTTGGTGCTGGGCATTATGTGGTCACACAGATAATAAGTGGGACACACTGCCAAGTCATCACGATGGAAATATTTTATCAGCAAAACCAAGGGGTGATGACATCACGGTGATCATAGTTAATCCACTGACGTTGTTTGTGGGAGAGGGATCATACCTGTGATTCTTCAGAGTCTCAGACCTATGTTTCATCCTAATGCCAGCCATTACAGCACCCCAGAGATTCTCATGTTTCCCTATGAGCTAATTCTGGCACTCCTCCAGAGTTCTTAAATACCACCTCTGGCTCTGCCGTCTCATCCCCCACCTGCCCCGGGTGCTGAGCATGGCACTAACTCTCCAAGCAGGTGTTATGAATCAGTGTGATGTCATCAGACTTAGCTAATTCTCCTTTCCCTCTCCGGGCACCACTGACTGACATGCTGTGCATGTTGCCTTTGTCCAAGTCCACCGTGCCCCTCTCAGCTCTATTTTTACAATGGTAGAACTGAGCTCTGCAGGAGCAGGCGCTGGCAGGTGTCATCCTGTCCACTTGATATTTCATTCAGCGCTATCCGTGTGTTGTAAGGGTACAGCAGATCAGCCACGATGGTATGGAGCTCATGGTAGGTTTGAAGGCAGAGAGGGAATGAAGCTCTAAGCCCCTGAATAATTAGAAGTACATGTGTAATGGAGTTAAGAGCTGGGATTTTGAAGGGTGCATAAAACAGTGTGAATGTGGAGAAGGGATAAAATTAATTCTCCCCACAGCACCATGTCTTTACTGTAAGCTAATTTGAGTGTTTGAGTATTTAACACGGCTTTTTTGTACTTTTTCAGTCTAGTTAAATGTCCTGTTTTGATTATTAGATTGTTATATCAGCAGGTATTATTGCTTTCATCATTTAAACTCTTTTTCTAGGAGACAACCTGGATGCCGTCCATGACATTACAGTTGCATACCCCAAGAACATCCCGCAAACAGAGCGCCACCTCATCCTGGGTCTCTTTCCCCGCGAGATCCACTTCCACGTCCGCCGCTACCCAGTGGCTTCACTGCCATCCCCCTCTGCTGAGCTGGAGTCTTGGTGTCGAGAGCGCTGGGCCGAGAAGGAGAGCCGTCTGCGTGACTTCTACTCAGCCCAGCCCCGCGGCTTTGATAGGGAAGGTGTCGCACGCGTGCCGCCTTGTAAGACGGAGCTGCGAGTGACTCTGATCAAAGCCGCCTCGCTGCTGTACTGGAGCAGCTTCATAGCTCTGTGTTTCACCGGCCTGTGGCTGTGGGCTCCGTTCAGGCTCTACTGCCTGGTCATGATTGGAGTGTTCATGGCCCAGCAGAAGCTTATTGGAGGGCTGGAGCTGCTGGAGCTGTCCTGCCATCGATACTGGAAGTCCATGGCTGCCGGCGGGGATGAGAAAAGTAAAGTGCTGGATGGGAAGATGCAGTGAGGATGGAAGACAGGGTTGACTGGACAATGATATGCTTCTATCAACGCTCAGCAAGGACACTGAGGACTCAGCTGTCTTGGCCTGTTCAGTCCAGAGGGCAAGAGGATCCTTCTGAGGGACCCGATGCTCCATGCCTTAGAAAGGGAGTCATGAGTTCACTTCCTGACGGTATGCATGGCTTCAGTGGAGAGAGCTTACCTTTCTGTTGAAGAATCAAAACAGGAATGTTATTTACATGTATCCGTGTTGGATTCAAGGAATTCACCACACGTAGTGCGTCACTTGCCCTTTTTATGTCTCCTTGTATGAGCTTGCTGTCGGTGCATTTTACCAGTTTATGTTGGTGGTGTTTATTGTAGCCGTTTGTTCAGAACCTCAGCGTGGACATGTGTCATGAAACAATGCTGTTAGTATTTGTTACACTGTTGCCATGTCATTGAAACTGGTTTTATTGTATGCTGTGTTACCCTTGGTAACAGTGTCATAAACGATGGAGCAGAGCCATAGTACAGACCACCTGTACATATGATGACTTGACTCTAACCAATATTCAAATCAGCACTGTAGTCAGACTGATGGGACTATTTGAATGAATCAGTCTCCATTTTTCGTTTCTAGAGAGGAAATAAAAGGACAATATAATTCCCAGAGAATTACTAAGGAATATACAGGTATATATGTGTACCATTGTTTACCTTTTATCGGGTATATTTACCTTTTTATACCAATGGGAAACGAACCTTTCCCAGTTAGTCCTTAGAGATACCTTGTGTGATGATGTTGTCATTGTATAGGTCTCGAAACATAAACTATGTTATTCCATGTTTGCTCAAATAACTTTTGCACATAAAAGCCAAAGGTGAGAAAAGCAGACGTGATTTTTAAAAAAGTAACCCGCCAGAATGTCTTTGTTAGGAAAGGGTAGCTTCAAACACCGCCGGCCAAGGTTACCCACAGCTACGCTGAGGTAACACTCGTAATCACCAACTCGTCAAGATCAAAAGGTCTGACTCTTATATCTGTAGACGCAGATGAGCTTTGTGCCCTTTCTGGGAATGAAGGGATGCCTGGTAGAGGCAGAACGTGGGTGGTGCTGGGGTGGAAGAATGTCCTGTTGGGACAACATTACCCCTCGATGTGCAGGGTGGCATAGAGGACCAGACTTGGAGTGGAAAACTGGCCATGAACTCAACCTAATCCAAAAAAGCCCTGTAATGCCCACCTCTGCCTGTGTCCCTCTCTAGAGGACTGGCATTGATGCGCCTGCTAAACTCAATTAGCAAATGACAGCTGAGAAAGCTGCTCCAATTGTGCCAAAAAAGGACAGAAATTGAAACAAGATTGGAGTAGCGCTTCAGCCACACTTTTAGCCACTGACTCTCCTTGCCACTCATTACAAACCATGTTAATTCTGTGCGTCAGGAAACACTTGTCTTGGGACAGCGCTGTAACACTGTGCGATGTGAGATCTACATGACCACTTCAACCCTGTTTTTTGGGAAAATGTCTGCAGCATCTTTTTTTGTTTATGTGAATCTGCAGCTCCTGTAGTTTAACTGTAAAAGGGGCTGTTCTCCAGTCACTGTGATCTAGCTGGGTTAACAGTTTTATCATCAGCATGTAGTAGTTTACCAGATATGGTACTATATTTGCTCCTCAATCCTGAACCAGCCAAACTATCCATGTATTCACCTGTGCTGTTTTTTTTTTTTGTTGTTATTGTTGCTCATTTTACAATCACCTGCTGATGCTGGACCTCTTTCAAAGTCACTGTCCTCAGGTAAACAAGAGCCAGTCTCTTACAGGAGGAAATATATATCTAAATAAATATACTATATCAACTCATTCACGTCTCCAGCAGTTGTTCTTTTAAGCTTCAACATAGGAAGTGTTGAACGTACATTCCAGGTGACGTTATTACATTACGCAGGAATCATGACAGTGGATTTTGTTTTTCATTCATCACTCCACTCGTGTAGAACATTTCCATTGCACTGACATTTTGCCCGTGCATTGTCTCGACAGCCCTTTAATCTAGAATGTACTTTAACAATCGCCACACTGCAGCGGGTGAGTCAACAAGACCTTGAATGCTCGTGTTACACAACACTGGGGCCACGGTTTGCACACACACACATTCGAGTCTGCCACAGACAACCAAAAAGGTCAGGAGCTTTGAAGGTGAAGTGCGGTCGCCATAGTAACTAATGTTGACTCCCCTGTCTCCTAGCAACGGGATGTGGAGTGATGTCAATGGAAAGCATGCTATTTTCTCCCGCTGACAGAATGATGTCACTCCTTTTGTGTGTGTGTGTGTGTGCAGGGAGAGCGGTGGAAAGATAGAAGTTTATTTCTATATTCTATATCTCAGCTCTCCTGAGGGGAGAGAGAGGGGGTGTGATGCTGACATCCCATGGAATCAAAGACAAAAGGCGAGGATAAACTGAAATAGCTGTCTGGGGACGATGAATCATGGACCAATTAAGGGTGCAATTATGCTCCTGGTGCTTTTTTGGTCCCCCGCCCTCCCTCTTTTAAATCATCCTCTGCATCTGAATATAGCATAACTTCAGATTTGCTGTTTGACAGAGGGTGGAGGGAAAAGATAGATGATGCACACACCACCCTATATTAGACTGGGTGTAGAAGGACTGAATCTCTTAGCAACAAAATAGTTGAATGGGTGGATATCATCCCCTAAACATATATCAGGTAATTTTCTGCCGTCAATAACAAGATGGAGCAATGTCGTCATTGCAGTCAATTTGACCCAGTTTGGATTTCTTCAGAGTTTGATCAGGAGGTTTTTATGGTGAGCCGAAATATCCGCAGAGGTCTCTTCCTCTCTGAATCAATCCGTCCCGGTGATTTAAACAGGTAAAAATTTTTGAGTCACCACTTATGTTTGCTCAGGTTGTGTCTCTGAAACTTAACATTCAGACATCCACTAACTAAAATCGTTAATCTGGTTGAAACAGGTGCCCAGAATGTATAGGGCCCCCCCAAACCTTCACCTGCAAAAAAGTCACTTAATATGTACTCACCCAAAGGAGATGTAAAATGACCACAAAGGAACTGCAATAAATAAAAAAATAGTCAGTTTCTCCCAGGTAGATTTCTTTACTGTTTGTTGTTCAGGAGGTTTTTTCAGGGAGCCAAACTATCCACAGAGGTCTCTTCCTCTCCAAAACAATCGGACCAGGTGATTTAAACAGGTAAAAAGTTTTGAGTTTCAAGTTTTATGTTAAAAATCAGTGTTTCTTTAATACTGTTTGGTACGGCAGATGCTGGAGCAGAGTCGCCACTGATGTTTACTCATGTTGTTTCTCATATAGTTTAAAACCTGGTTTCTGGTTTCCGCCCTCTCCACAGCACAGAAACTGCACTCACTAAAATAACCAACGACCTCCTCATGGTAGCTGATTCTGGTTTACTCTCCATCCTCATCCTCCTTGACCTCAGTGCAGCCTTCGACACCATCTGTCACACCACCCTCCTCAATAGACTATCCTCCATCGGCATCACTCATACTCCTCTAGACTGGTTTAAATCTTATCTCTCTCACCGCACTCAGTTCATCCAGCTCAAACACTTCACACCCCAACCTTCCCCTGTTACTTCAGGTGTGCCCCAGGGCTCTGTCCTGGGGCCCCTCCTCTTCATCATTTATCTTCTCCCCCTTGGCAGCATCTTCCGCAAACATAACATCACCTTTCACTGTAACGCGGCTGACACCCAGCTCTACCTCGCTAGCAAACCCACTGCCAACCTCCCACCCTCCTCCCTTACTGACTGCTTAACTGAAATAAAATCCTGGTTTACCTCAAATCTTCTGAAACTCAACTCTGATAAAACTGAGATTCTTCTCATTGGCACACAGTCAACACTTTCCAAAACTGACAGTTTCCCCCTCACCATTGACAACTGCTCCGTCTCCCCCTCCCCACAGGTTAAGAGTCTGGGTGTCATCCTCGACAGCACACTTTCCTTCTGATCTCACATCAACAACATCACCCGGTCTGCTTACTTCCACCTATGCAACATCAACCGCCTCCGCCCCTCCCTTACTCCCCATGCCACTGCTATCCTTGTCCATAGTCTCATCACTTCCCGCCTGGATTACTGCAGCTCCCTCCTCTCCGGTCTCACCCACAAATCCCTGCACACACTTCAACTGGTCCAGAATTCAGCTGCCCGTGTCATCACCAGAACCCCCGCCATCCACCACATCACTCCCGTCCTACAGCAGCTCCACTGGCTCCCGGTCAAGTCCCGCATTGACTTCAAAATCCTTCTGCTTGCATTCAAGGCCATCCATAATCTTGCCCCCCCCATATCTTTCCAGTCTTCTCCACATCGCCACTCCCTCTCGCACCCTCCGATCATCTTCCTCCATTCTGTTGACTGTCCCCTCTGCCTTTCTCATCACCATGGGGAGCAGAGCTTTCACCCGCTCTGCTCCCCGGCTCTGGAACTCTCTTCCACCCGAAATAAGGAACATCAGTACACTATCACAATTCAAGTCCCGACTCAAAACACACCTGTTTAAGATCGCCTTTTCCCTTCACTAACCCCATTTCCTGTCCACATTAAACTGTTTTTACTCGTGTGTACTTTTTGTGATTGCCTGCAAATGGTTTCATAACATGTGCCGACCCGCAAGAGATTCAAAATGACCACAACGAGACACAGACGAACTGCAAAGAGACAAAAATGAACAAAAAAAAAAGCACAAAAGATGCACAACAAAAAAGAGATGCAACAACAACACAAATAAAGGCCAAACATTTGTTGTAGTGACTTTTATTTATTCAATTATTTTTATTGTCAAGACAACCATGGAACATAAACCCCAAACACCCAAACCCACCCTGTCCCTCCCCGAGGCTGGCCAGCACAGACAGACAAATGGACACCACTAATTGAACATAATACACATAAATATACAGACCTAAGACAGACTGATGAAAAAGGACAATATTACATTTTGATATTATAAGCTCACATAGGCATTAGATCACATTACTCTAAGTATAGACATTATTATGATAGTCCAGGAGTGGTTGCCATACTTTATGGAATTCTATTGTTGTGACTTTTAACAAAACAAAATGTCTAATCACGCATGTGTGTGTCTTGTTCCTCTGTTGGAGAGGTGGGGGAGGGGGCTTTTGCATTACTGTGCCCATGGGCCTATCCTCTGATAATCCACCCCTGGATAAAATAAGTATTATAATGTATTCTAATGTGGAAAAGTTGCATATTTTATCTTTATTGTTAAAGTCTTTAGTCCTGCCCAAGAGCCCTGTGGACGTGTCTGAAGGGTGGTGGGGGAAAAATAGCTCTCTGTGTGAACACACACCAATAAGACTATGTCACATCTAGATTTGTGCCATGTCTATCCAATTGCACGCGGACTAATAGGATCAACAAGGCGGTGTAATTATCTTATCTGGCCTGATGGCTTTTTCAATGAAGAGAGCAGATAATCCTGAGGTTAGGCTGGGACAAAGTCAAAGACTACTATGAATTATAAAGCAGGACACTGAGCTCTGTGGAGGTGGAGCCTCTTTCTTTGCCTCTAGTCATGTCCTGGCTCTAGATATGGTCATAAAAATACCAGTGTTGTCTGTCTAATAATGATCTAGAAACAAAATAAAGAAGGAGCAACTGCAGTGGATGCAGAAACAGCTGTGTCCAGAACAGTGTGCTGTGTGCAACAACCTTAATTAATATTTGTCTGAGCTAACTTTAGTGCTGCGTGCTCAGTGCAGGGCACCTCCAGGAGTGACTGCAGAGAAAAGCAGACCTGTTGTTGATTCCACCGCTGTGACACAGACACACTAACAAAGACGCCTTCCAACAGGATTGGCGCTATAAATAACTCTACGGCAGCACTGCAATATTAGTGGGTGGATTAGGAGAGAATCGTCACTGCCTATTTATAAACCTGATGCAGTCAAACCTCCTCATCCTGGGTGATTCATGATGAGCTCTGAATAGGTAAAATGGAATCATACATGTTTGTCATACATGTTTGCTTTTTCTAAACATCTCAGTCAGTGTGTGCCCACATTTGGAGATTTATTTAGCTGCACATAATTCAGCAGGCTTTTCTGCCTCAGAGAGTAATATCACTGACATGCATTTCCAGACTGCAGTGAAGCTCCACTGATCCTGCCAAGTAGGCGGACGTCAGAGGCAGGCGAGGGACTCAGCATCATGCATCCAAGGGAAAACGTCATCAGAGATCATCCCGTCTCTCAGTACCCTGCTGCCACCTAGAGGCTTAGAGATCCTTTTATGGACATGAACATGGAAATAAAACACTTTCCAAATTTGTCCTGAGCACCAGGTGCCGCATTTGAAATCTAAAATACAAAACATGCAGAGAAACAGTGAAAAAAGAGAAGAAAAATATTATTTGAGTCATTATAGTCACATTGATATTCTCTGACTTTAGTGCACTTGCAGACAAAACTTTGTGATCCAAAAGTGGGTTGCGGGTCCATTGTGAATGAACCGCTAATGCATCAATTTTGTAAAATCGCATTTTATCTTACTATATGATGACAAACCTCTGTGTGTGGGTGTGGGTGTGTATATGTGTGTCTGTTCCATGTTTTTCTCCTCACTGACTCGGTCAATCCATATGAAATTTGGCACAGTGGTAGAGGGTCATGGGAGGATGGAAATGAAGCAATATTACATCAATTGGCCAAAGGGGGTTGCTATAGCAACCGATTGAAATTGCAAACTTTGAATAGGCATATCTCATGCCCCGTATGTCGTAGAGACATGAAACTTTGCACAGAGATGCCTCTCCTCATGAGGAACAAATTTGC